CTGCAGTCACACTGTCACACTATCGCTGTCACACTCACACTATCACACTGCTGCACTGTCACACTGCTGCACTGTCACACTATCACACTGTCCCACTCCTGCACTGCCAGACCAGCACTGAATGTGGAGCAGGGAAGACATGTACGAAATTGCTTCTTGCGAGCTAGCTCAGCACACCACTGCTTAGAGATCGCTAAATGAAAATTAATATCAACCTCTAAATAGAACCCTTACTAAATAGTGTTTCATGATCTTCACTTTAAAAGCTGCTGTGTGGAGAATTTATGACTTGTGTTTCTCTCAAGGAAACCCCAACTATCTAACAAAATTAACCCAAACACCTAAATTTAAATTGGTTATTTTTTATTGGCATGGTTGTCATATAATTATGTTTCCCCTAAGGGTATTATCACTTAAAAAAATAAGTTCAAAACCACTGTTAAAACATTTTCCTGGGAAAATAGAGGACACATACTCACAATTTACCAACTGTCCAGAACATCAGTACCATTTTTAAATGAAATATACAATTCTAGTTATTTTGAAAGTGTCTGCACTATGAAGAAAATTCACAAATTGGAATACATACATGTTTTGTTTCTACAACAATAAACAAAAATAAGTAATTATCAGAAAAGGGGGCTTTAGTCCTGTGTAGATATAAATTTCCTATTTTCCCTTAGGGAGTAGCAGCATGACACAGTACGTTTAAGAAAAATAAAAGAATTTGAAGTAAAATTTTATGAAAGGAATATATGGGCTTTCAGTAAAAAAAAAAAAAGAGCGGAATTGTAATTCATACTCATGGACTTCCTAGCTTTGTGATTTTAAGCAGGTTAACTGCTCTGTTTTGGTTCTGGTGGACTACAGAAAGGCTAAATGGAAAGAACAGTGGTCTCGGTACAAACAGCGAGGGACCCTGGGCCGTGAGGCTGGAAGCAGCAGGGTGAAGCCACATTGGGGGGAGGGCGTGTCTCTGCCCGCCTGACGGAGTCAGTACTCGATTCAGCAGATGTCAGTGATGACTGAGGACTGAGACAAGGTCATGACCACAACAATGCGCTAGTTAAACGTTTAGGGCTGGTAGCAAGGGGGGGTTTCTGAATACCAGGAAGTCCCTGCTCCAGTCTGGTTCTTTTTTTTTACATTCACAAACTTGTATTTTTATTCTCTTTCTGTATATATTGGCAATGATAAATCTTAAAGATGCATGTCCTATGAAATACGCAAAAATAAGGAATTTACAGAAATAATTTATACTTCGGAAAATGAAAGTGGAAAAAGGTTCTCCACATCATTAGCGTTCACAGTATTTAAAGTATTAAATCAAGCTCCCCGCCTTAGACTTCGAATCTACTGTCTCAGCAGAGAACAATAAAATCTACCTGGGAATAAAATGATCCGGTTTCTGCTTTTTATTCAGTGCAGGAGCAGACGCCAGGGGGCAGAAGGTTCTGCCGCCAGCAGGAGGGAAAGTGCGGGCAGCAGGCCCCTAATCCAGCACGAAAGCACACACAGACGGTGCCCTCGGGCTCTCTGCTCAGGGTCCACGAGGCAGAGCCGAAGCACCCGTGATTCGGGGCGGGACGCTGACTTGTGTCAGCCTGCTGGGCTTGTACTGAAGCGTGGCTCCCTCTCCCTGTCTGATCTAGCGCCTTACAACCCGGCCGCCGTGCCAGCACCCAGAGCATCCCCACGCACCTGCAGGAGCATGCAGAAGATCCCAGCCATGCCGTGGGCCGCGCCGACGTACTGCTTCCTGTGCCACTGGTATAACAGGGGGCAGCGCTCGGCCTTCCTCTCGTCCCTCGACAGAGCCTTGCCCGACTCAATAATAGCACTGACGACCTAGCGATAGACAGTGGGGCAGCGTGAGTCTAAAGCTGACACCTGTCCTGTTTTAGTGTAAGTGACGCTGTGTCTTTAGATAGCTACTTCATCTAGAAAACCTTTAGCAGTTAGTAGCCAACACTGTTATCTTTATTTTATAAATTAGTATACAGGCAGAGAAAAATCAGGAGACAATCTCAGAGTAGAAAAAGATGTTAAGAAGTCAAATCACGAAATCAAAAGCTCTTTGCATAAACAGTTTACTAGAATCTAGAAACGCTCCTATAAAAAATATCAGGGACAACTCGGCTGCTTCGCAGCTGCAGTATTTCCCCCAAAGCCTGGCAATCCTCCAGGACGGGCTGGAGGAATTGGCTCCATCTGTGAGGCTTGTTGTGGCTTTAGTTAGATCAAAAGGGCAGCATCTCTGTAAGACTGGCACAGTCTCCTCGTAGCCTTTCTCCCGTCACACGTTTGGCAACCGTGCCCCCAGTGGAGCTGGGCATTGGCCCCCGAGCCCCACAGCTGCATGCAGTCATGTGACCGGGTCATGGGCGTGAGGAGCAGGGGGCAGGCGACCGCAGCCTTACGAGGAAGCTAAACATCTTCCCTTCCCCACCTGCCCCCTGGGTGGGGGCGGGTGCTCCGCTCGCTGTGGTCACACAGGTAAGGCCAGGCCCCCAGGATCCGGCAGAACAAGACAGAACCTGGTCCCCAGCCATAGTCCCAGGACTGCCCACCACGTCAGACCTTCCATGAAAGAGAAAACATCCTATCTTTTGAAGCTGCTGTTGTTCGAGTCTAATAAAACCAGCTGGATTGATAGAGGCCTAAGAAGAATACAGATTAAAAAAAAAAATTCCTAGAAAGAAAAGAAGGAGCTGTTAGTAGTTTTAGGAGCTGCTGTAAGGAATTACTCTGGCAGAGAGGCAGGGTCCAGCCATGCCCCTAACCCTAAGCTGACAGGCAGGTGCCCAGCGGCCGGCGGCCACAGTACCTCTTGAATAGCTGCCTCCGACACGGTGCCCGGGCCGATCTCCGTGTTCAGGTAGAGTAAGGCATACAGGTAGCCCGCCCGTCCGTACAGCAGCTCGTCCGGAAGGTCTGAGTCCCGGCAGACCACGGTTCTCTGGAGCTGCAGGAGTCTGCCCGACAAGAAAAACTGTTTTCCCAGAGAACGTCTAAAATACCTCTTCCTCCTCTTTACTTGAGGAATGACCTGTTATTTATTTTTCATTTAAAACTGATTTAAAAAAATACAAAACAAAAAACAAAACTCCAGAAAACAAAAACTTCCCCCCTTCACTAATTTCTCTCTCAAATATCAAAATGAATAACATCTTTGTGTTCAAAATTTCTACCTTACATCTATTCTAAGAGAAGATACTCAATTTTGAAATCCAGAATTAGATGGAAGTGATTTAAAATCTAAAACGTAGCCAATGTTTGGGAATTGGCTTCTTCCATCTCTCAACACTGACGGATGAGCACGTGCAGACACTCCGCCAGACCACAGGGGGGCGCCCTGACTGCTTCCTCAGAAAAGAAGAGGAACCAACATGTAGTCAGAGCTCACTCTGTTCCAGAACCATCGAACCTAAAGATAACTTAGCTATTACAGCGCGTCTTAGGCACATAAGCTCATTTTCATGCATTGGAGGCAACCACAAATTTCTTCAGAAACATGACTAAAGTAACACAGAGAAACATGTTTATTCCCTGGCCCCCAAATTAAGGCAAACACAAGCTTGGGTGGAAGGGAGCATATGATCCCACCATTATGCTCTCAGGATTAGCATACAAGCCTCTACACCTCTCGGACAGGCCTGTTTGCCACAGCAGATTAATTAAACGGTTTCCTTTTCGACTGTCTTTCTATAGCAAGGTCTTCAACTGAGACTTTGGAGGAAATGCTTCTAATTTTAAAAACTCACTTTGTGATGCATTCCTGGGACTCGCAGTCGCTTTTGAGTTTGTGATAAACCACAGCGCCCACAGCAAGCGGCCCCGCATCTCCGCAGAGGAAGGTGACCCTGCGGCCATTCAGGTTCCGAAGTGTCCTCTTCACGTAATCCAGGGACCGGAGCAGGTAGGCCTGGTCACCCGTGACCCTGTAGAGCTGCAGGTACAGCAGGGCTATCCCTGGAAGAAGCCCCACCCCAAGGAAGAGCGTTACTGCCACAAGGACACGATTTTAGGGCTACGTGAAAACCTACGTAAAACCCACATTTCTGGAGGGCAACAGCAAAGAAATGACATATGATACAGTTTAAAAAAAAAGAGAGAGACCTCAGAGTAGAAAAAAACTTAAAACAAGTTCAAATATGTTATCGCGCTGCTTGTTCCAACGCAGTTCAGTACCTCCTAGACTGGGGAAGATGGACGTCCTTCCCATGCACAACCTCGACTCGGCTCATGGTTTCATTCCTTCTCCTTTGCATCTTGAGCTAATAACTTAGATCCTTTTCTTTTTACTTCACATATCATCATTTTCTCCTATCTTACCCCAAATTAGATGATTACTTTTTTGAATTTTACACCCTCTTCTTTCCAATTTTTCTACTTCTTACAATTTTTCGATTTTGTTTAGTGACCAACCCATCGAAATGATCAACCAATCAGTGAGTCAACTCACCACTGATGGAATACCCACACGGTGCAGAGTAAGGTAACAAATACAGGAGACAGTTTATCACCGGCCCCACCTTCCTAGTTTAAAGAACAGGTCCAGATGTTCAAGTGAACTAGAGAGGGGCTTTTGCTGACACTCTAAGGAGGATGACCTATGTGGCTTCTGAAAAACACACGCTATTAGTCCTGTGTTCAAGAAGTCTATAGGAGAGCCAGGTAAAAAATGAGTCTGTATAAACACATACTTAATAAAGTATATTGTAGGAAAAAGTATTGAAAGAAATGATGTGATGGTGAAAAGGCCAAACAAGACACTTAAAGCTTGAATTTAGATTCTCTAATATTTTCTTTGTCTAAAAGCCTACTCTCACTTTTACTATTTTTCATTTTGCTTTTAAAATTTCTCTAGCTAGGTAGCTTCTTTTTTCTTTAATTCTCCTATCCAGGGTATCCTACTTCCCTTGCAAATGAATTCGTAAGATGTTTTTGAGAAGTCCTTTTGTCATTATCCATTTCTTTAAAGATGTTGAGTGGAATTCACGGGCAGGCCTCCTGGTGCGGCCTGCGAAGTGGTTAGTGGGACCTGTGTCCCTGGCTGAGTCCTGAGCCCTGGCTACTATGCTCCCACCTTCTCCTTGCCCCTCCGTCCGTCCGTCCGTCAGCCAGCTCACCTCTGCATTCTCAAAGGGGCGAGAAAGAAGTGGGCGTGTGTGGCAGTGAGGTTTGCCTTCCCCCAGGTAGGTTAGGCTCTGAGAACATTCCAGTAGCTTTGGGTCTGGTAAAATAGCTTCTCCTGAGGGCCGGCCTTGTTAAAAAGCGTAGAATGATCTGGCATATTTCACAATGGTTCCTTTCCCCTCTCCCTGCTGGAAGCTGAGGGGACTTTTTTTTCCCATATTCACAGTGAGGCGCTGCGAGAACTCCTTGAGTTGATCTCACCGAGGTGTGGCAGCCACCCCTATGACTGGGTCCCGGGGTTTAATCCCGCTTGTCCGCACTGAGCCTGGAGCTCAGGTTTCTTACCCCTACACTGTTCCCGCGGACCTGTCTCCTGTGGGTCTGCACACCAAGAAATTGTGATTTTCTGAATCTCCCTCTCTCCTCTTTTTCATGTAGCTGTCTGCCCTGTGACCTGGCTTTTCTGAGGAATCTAAGAAGAGTTGTTGATTTTTCAGTTTCTGCAGCTTTTAACTTGTAAGGACCGAGTGATGACTTCTGAACTCCTTACATGCCAGACCAGAAACTGCAAGATTCCCTTTAATTAATTTATTTTTTTTTTCCTTCCTTTTAATGGTATTGCTGTGCTTTCTGTGGTGTCTGTTCTTTCTTCAGCTCCTTGTAATTTGTGCTCCATTTCTGAAGTGATTATGTCTTTTCCTTCAATTTCTTTTCTTAGTTCTGTCAATTCTCACTTCACATCATCTTACTGCCTGGCCATCCCATCTCTGAGTTCCTTTATTTCTGCTTTGTCTGTACGCTCTACTTACAATTTTGCTAAAGAGATTAGTAGGTGTTTCATCCATTCTTCTGAGCTTGTACAGTTTTAGGAGAAAAGATAGGGAGGAGTGGGTTTAAGTGGATTCCATACCACTACGTGAACCCCGAAGCCCTAGAAACCATTCAAACCAGATACTTCCACATGACTCTATCAGTGATTCCAAAAGATGACAACAAATGTGGATTAAAAAAAGCAAAAAACCACTGATTCTTGGAGTCGTCCTGGGGTGGAGGCTGATAGTCTTTGTTTATTAGAAGGCTCTCTGGATGAGTCGGATGCATAACTACCTTGGGGTCTAACAATCATAGAGTTAAAACCCTTTTTTCAACAACAAGAAGAAATGCTTTAAGTAAAAGACTTTTCTGGGGAAAGCGGTGCTGCTAATAACTATGTTATTTTTCCTTTCAAAATACCCTAATTCTTTGTATTTTATTTCAAGGTAGCCAAAATTATCTAATTTTACATTTAGGATAAATTTCGCTGGCTCTGTAAATGAACTAGCTCCATGTGTGGGTTTAAAAGTTTAAACGTTTTACTTCTAATGTCACTATGAAAATGTTATATTCATAATAGGCAAATAATAAATAAAGCATCATTGAAATTGATATAAATATAAACATAAATAAAGATCAGGGCCATCACGTTTGCTTGTATTGCAAAACTGGGTGTCAGTTCCCGGTGACTCCAACATGTATACTTGTGTCTAGGCTGTTCTTGGATTATATAAAAATTTAGCAAGAAAAGGCTATGAATTTGTATACAAACTGTCATTAGCAATGATCATACTGCAGCCCAACCCCTCAGAACAAGGTCTGTTTTTATTCCTCTTATATTCCCTAAATAGCTATTATACTGTTCTGGCTACATGGTAAAATAAGAAGAATGTAAAGATTAGCTAAGGCAAGCTAATTTTAAAATTAAGCTTTTTGATGTAAAGTGTATTACTGCTTGCTTGTTTAATTATCATCAAAATAAAAATAAAAATCTTTATGTGTTTATAAACAAGGAATAAATAGTTTTATATAACGTACCAGAGAACTCACACAACTACAACTTGTCACAAAGATCAAAGCAACAAAAGCAAACAAACAAAAACTGGCCCTCGGGCAAGTTTGTTCTTACATATTTTCATAGACAGCCATATGTTAGGTCAAATAATGTTATGAAAATAAAATATGACAAACTATATATTACAGTTCAAACTTCAGGCAGGACTAATTTCTTTAGAAATAAAATTCCAAAGTATGTCATCAATGAAGACAGTTCCAAACTTCATTTAAAGGGTATAAAACTTGATGATTTTAAAAGAAAAACAATTTCCAACCCAAGTCTTACACATCAGAATCCGAGAATAAGCCACAACGATGCCGTGCACCCCACATTCTCACCTGTCCACCCAGTGTAAGCAGAGCAATCATGTGGGTCGGCGGTCTTCAGCCCTTCCTCCATCTGCTGGAGAAGGTCTTTGATTTTGGTCTGGATCCGCCTTGTGAAATTAGGAACGATCTGAGACCAGAAGACATAAATTTAAATTGCACAAGAGTAGGACAATATTGTAATAAATACTTGAACTAACAGTCTAAGTTGTAAGAACATAACAGACAGAAATTATATTACTGGGCCCATTTCAATGCTTCATTGGTTGCAGAGTCTTACAATGTAAATTTCTAAATGAGATAATGCCCTATGTAGACTAGAAATCTTAAGTAGGATTACAAAAAATAAGTTGCAGAAACCAAAGGGAAAAAACATAAAAAAATGTTGGATTTGACCACACAAACATTTTAACATCTATAAGTTAAAGAAAATAAGAAAGATGGTTTAAATGTTAATGACCAGGGGGAAATAGTTGCAATAAAAAACATTACAAATAAAAACAGACCATAACAATACAGAAATACACCTAAAACTATCAATGTACTTCAAGTGACAAGCATATGCAAAAACAGTCAGCCACTTAGCAATCAATGAAATGCAAGTCAAGTACCATGCTTTGCCCATCAGATTAATAAATAAAAATTTAAAATATTATGTACCAGTGCTGCTAAGAGCTAAGGAAACAGGTCTTCTTATTCACTGCTGGTAGTCTTTCTCAAGGGAAATTAGGCAGTTCTTAAACACGTAATTGCTCAGATTTTTCTGCCTTTGATGATTTTTGAAAAATCTAGTTGCTATATCAATTGCTGAGATGTCTTCAAATTCCTGATCATGATTGTGAAATTGTTTATTGTCTATTTCTTCCTTTAAGTCCGTACTTTTTTTTTTGCTTTTGTGTATTTTGTACTTGTTATTAGGTTATTAATTATATACAAAATGTGGCTGTTATGCCTGCCTCATGACTGACTCATTATCAGAATGAAATGTCCCTCTGTGGGACTCTAGACAAAAGGCTTTCCTGTTACCGCACATTTAGGGCTTTCAGGGCACATCTTACTGGAACTTGGGGTTCTGGGCCAAAAGCACACCTTAGGAATTAAGTTACAATTGTGTAAGTTGTGAGAACTCCAAAGAGGTTTACTTAACCACTGAGGTATCTGTTTACATTTCAAAGGAGGATGAGGCCCTAGAAGCAAGACAAGCCGGCTTGTATCTTTTTCACAGAAAGGTTCATTTACATTCCAATGACTTAGAGTAAGGTATTTCCAATGACAGCTCTCAGAAGGGAAAGGGAAACAGTTGCCTCTTTCTCCTCTTTAAAAAAACCTTATCTTAACTAATTACATTTCCTTATATGGAAATGAGGTCACATGCTGAAGTTCCAGTGGCTAGAAAGGGACACATCTTTTTGGGAGCCACACTTCAACCCATGACACCCTCAATCTCATGAAACTTCATGTCTATCAAAACAAATGAGAACTTTGATATTATCTATCTTAATTACATTCTTAACACATATTTGAAGAATTAAAAATGCAATAACCAGCCAAACATCAAGTATCTATACAGAAGACAGTGGAACTCAATTCACACTCATTTTATCTTGTGACTTTCTTATTACTGAGAAGCATTCTTTCCACCTTTTAAAGTCACAATCCCTGTCTCCCTTTAATGTGCTCTCATTTTTATCTTCAAGAACAACACAATTTCCATTTCCCCTTCCCTTTGGCATATAATCACAACCACTGGCATGGGTCCCCACCCATAGAGATATCACACGCCAAATTAGTTACTTGTGCTTTAACTTTCTATTATATAAGTCAGTCTGGTATACAGTTGAGGTCAAAATCACATGTACCAGATACAAAGGGTTTAAAGAAAAATGCGTAGTTACAGAACCGGTGTTTATCTCCTTCTATGAGGTAGAAGATGAAACTCAACCGCTCCCATCTCTTTACTGTTCTCATGGAGACTCGAGTTGTGGTTAGGAGCTTGTTTCGCTCATCTTTCACTAAACGTCGCAGTGGCCTCCTTACTCTCAGGATAGTACTGAGGTAGCAACTGGTTAAGTATGAATGGTGGACGTTTTTAATGCTTGCCAGAGATTTATTTTTATTATAAAAAATTTTGAACAGTAAGTCACAAATACAACAGATATGTGAATAGAGAAAAGAATCTAGAGAAAAGCCAATACTGAACTAGGAGTTCTAAACCCTAAGACTTGAATTTTCAAGGGGAAGAAAGAGGCTGACAAGTACTGGGGGCCTCCTGGGTACCACATAGGGCAGCTTGCCAGGCAATTCATCACCCTCATCTAATTCTGTCACCAACACCCTGTGAATCAGGAATTGTTATCCAGTTTTAATCACACGTAACACAAGAGAGGTTTAGCGAAGTCACTTGTCTAAGATTCTATATTCAGACCAATGGCTCCTTCAAAATTGCCTTCTGAATGTCAAATTTATACCTTCTGGAATGCAAAACAGACGGGGAGCCAGGGAGGGAAAGTGGGACTCAGAACCCTGAGCTCAGTGGAACAATAACCTAACCCGTAAACAGGAAAACAGGTGTGCTGATGTTCATGTCTTCCTTTCTTTCTGCTATAAAAGTTCACTGCAGCCTGCATAGCCAGCAGGAAAAAGGAAGACTTACTTTAACAGGGGAGAACACTTTTCATATTGGAATTTCATCTCCCACTTTTGAAAAAAAGGGGTGAACCCTCCCTGCCCAGGAACAGCACTACCCGCCCCTGGCGGCCAGTGAGCAGCCGCAGCCTCGTACTCTTGCTCTCCTCCGATGGATCTTTGCTCAAAACAACCGTTCCCGATCTCCTCCTGAACGCCCCCGAAAGCTGACCCTGCCTTTGTCTATTCGGACTTCCATGGAGCTTGCCACACGTGTCCCGAACAGCAATTCCTCTGCTTTACCCAAACAAGCTCAACGCTCTGAGCGTGTCTCAGTTTACCTCTGTTTAGGGCAACACCACTTTTTCCCCTAGCAAGTCAACTTTTTTTTTTTTTCCAGACGCCCCATTTCCAACTCCTGGGCACACAGACAAGAGCCATCGAAATGACACTACTGTGCATGAACAATGCTTTTCTGTTTTTCCAAGGGCAGTGGAGCCGGGGCCCGGCTGGACACAATCGGCCTCAGGGAAACCGTGCGCCGGTTTGCAGCTCTAGCGGCGGCGTTGGGCTCGTGGGCCCGACAGTGATCAAATCTGCACGGCCACGGCCACCAGGGCCCTAACGGTCCCTTGCAAACGCCCAGAAACGCAAGGCTCCGTCGGCGGATTTCTAAGGCATGTGGGGCCAGGAGGCGCCCAACGCGTGGAAAGGGTCCAAACAGCACAAGTTCCAGGCCCCGCCGGCCCCGCCGGCCCCGCCGGGAAGGGCACACACAGGGCCGCGCTCCCGGAGCCCCGAGGCCGGGCCGCCGCCCGGGACGCAGGCGCGGCGCGGGCGGGTGACGTCAGCGCGCCGCCGGGCGTGGACGCTACCACCGCCAGCGCCCCACCCCCCCCCGCCCGGCGCGGCCCACGGCCCGGCCGCCGACTCACCTTCCCGTCCTGGTGGAAAGGGAGGCCGAGCTCGTCGGGGCTGGGCGGGGGGCGGGCGCCGCCCGTCTCCTCGGCCGCTCCGGCGGCCACCATGGAGGCGGCGGCCTCGTAGTCCGGGAAGGGGTTGGCGAACGCCCGCTCCTCCATCTCCGCCTCTCCGCCCAGATGCAACTTGAGTCTCTTCGACATGGTCTCGCCCATCGCCGCCGCGCGCACCGTCCCCACCTCTGGGGCCGCGCGGCACGGCGAGCGGGCGGGGACAAACCTCCTGCCCGGGGGCGGCCTCTAGGAAGGCCGCGGGCTGGGAG